AGTCCATCTCAATATAGACTTTTAACTCTAACAAGTCTATCTCAGTATAGACCACCTTTAAAGGCTTATAGAGTAGTTAAAGACATAAATCAGTTATAAGTCTTTTCTTTCTATCATGGGCACTGTTCTTTGCAATGCAAATGACAGTTTGTGAATCACAATGTATATGTAGTGAAGGTGTTAACTAGACACCCCCACAACTCCACGTTTATCAACATATTTCTTAGCCACTCAGCTTATTGGAATATCCCCATTATCTTTCATAAGAGGCAGTTAACCATTTTTCACTCAAGTCAAGGGTCTCGTTAGGTCTATCTCTAAATAGACCACCCCAATTGAGTATAAATCATTAAGAGACTTTTGTACTCAAGCATTATGCGGTGAATTCGTTAAGTCCATCTCAATAGGACCACCCATCTCATAGGGTTATAAATTCATTAAGCGTTTTAGCTCAACCTCACAAGTACACACATTATAGGAATGATCGCGATCGACCGATTAGTGTACTACTTTGTGATTCTTTTCATAGCTTCGTTTGACCACAAAAGTGAGATCCACCACGAATTCATCACCTCATGGGCTTTAAGTCATTCCATCAATAATTCAATGACTAACCCCCACACATTCAAACAAGTTTGAAGGAAGTAGATGTTTGAGGGGAAGTGAGCGCTGACCTTAATGTCAATGGTTTAGACCTTAAACTGACACGTAGTGCCTTGAGTAACTTTCTCCTTAGTAGTGAATTGAATCTTGAACTAGCCAAGGAGAGGTAGTTTTGAACTCATGTGCACACATCAGCACCCATTATGCAGGTTCTTCTTGTGACACACCCGTCTCATTGTGTGTTATTTTTTTTATTTTTTATTTTTTATTTTTTTATTTTTTTTTTACAGTTTTACGCTCGAATCATAGGGAGTTTGTGCAGGAGTCACTTCGAAGCTATTAAACTTCCTTAATAGCTTCTCTGTATAGTGACCTTGTAGATGATAGCTTGTAGCCATTCTTGAATTTTATGACTTTTACTCCAAGTATCACATCGGCCTCCCTAGATCCTTCATGTCAAACTTATCACATAGTGACTGTTTAGTCTCTTTTATAGCATCTATATTGTGGCTAAATATTAGCATGTCATCCACATAGATGCATATAAGCACAACACTTGAGTCTACCTTTTTTGAGTATAGACACGCATATGATCTGTTTAGCGTGTAGCCCAGATCCATAAGTGTCTTATGAAACTTCTCATACCACTGTTTGCGGGCTTCAGATTTGCTTTGTAAAACATTACAGCAGCTTCGTACTTTAGCTAACACATACTCAATAGTTGAATATATTTCAACAAACTTGGTTATCTCAACTCATCATAATTACCCTTTAAACAGGAATTATAGGTCTTTCAAAATGACTCAACCAAGAATTTAAATAATATGTATAAATGCTCATTGTTAGTAAGCCACATAGATTATGTTGTCTGCATGCTGCTTCAAGTTGGACAACATAATCACAAATTTCACATAATATTCTTAATCTCATATGCAATGAATATGTTCAAATTGACATTTATTAGGGAATATATTTCAACAAGGTGAATTCAACGAGTATAACTTTAACACCCAAAGTTATTCCACCTATACAACGTTTCTTTCACTTGAGCAAAAAAAAGAAAAACAAAACTCATATTAAGCATTCATATGATGCAGATCAACATTACTATTGCAGTACTTCAACAATTTCTATTGCAAGGCTTTGATTGTTTAACAACATATAAAAGTCAACCTCATTTCATGTGAAGATCAAGTGACACTCTAACAGCCTGCATGATTAACACCCTACTTCTTAAAAACTGGCAAGTCGAGTGGTGAAACCGAAGTTTTCTTAAGAACCATCTTCCTAGACAGAGTATTTAAGAATGATGACTGTTCCATGCTACCACCATAAATGTTAGTAAAGCCTTTGAAATCAAACTCAGTACACAATTCAAATATTGAAGATTATGTGATTGTAAAATATATATGTATCTCATCAAATAGTGTAATAGTTTGTAACATATCCACAATAATAACACATAATGTTATAAATTGACATGTGCATAAGTACACAATTTATAAGCTTTAATTTATATCAGATTGATGATTTAATCACTTAGTAGTAGTGTAAAATCAACACTTCTAATACAACAAAATCATAAAGCTCATACATGTGAATAATAACAATTCACTTAGTTTTTTTGTGTACACCGCTGTTAATTTTCTCTATAATATTCAAAGCACTCACCATACAAAATATGAAATGGTGATTTCTAAAATGCTTGTCACAATATATATTTCACGTTTCACATGCTCTAAAAAAATAATAATCAATTGGATGCAAAGATATAGGCAAACCATATTCTAAATTATGTCATTATGATAGTTTTCAGAGAATATGGTCAATGCCCAATAATATATGACAACTAATGCTCAAAATAATCATTTGCATATGATAGTAGCCTATAATCATATAAATATACATGTGCCATATTAGAATATGAGGAGACAAACCTCATCGGAGTATGGTCAAAGCTTCGATATGAACCCAATAATTATTCCAGTTGTACTCCCTTGGTTAAAGGTTACACATAAGTCGAAGCAGTGTGCTTCACTAGTATTGTTCTGTATGAAGCTGCTGCCTTCCACTGCTAATCTCTGTTGTTGCTACACCATCATGTCGCCAAAAAATTATTATAATATGCGCCATGATTCGAGTAGTTGATTGTTGCTATAAGTAACGCTTTTAACTGTTGGAGAATATTCGCAACGTCAACGTGCGGGCGGGAAACCTTTTAAGAAGCACGGACACAACGGGTGTATGGTAGAAGGGAAATCTGTGACGTGTTATAATAACACTACCTTAAAAGCGTTATTTTCCCGGTGCCGGTGCAGTCAGAACTCTGGCACGCTTTCGACAGGCTACACAGACCAACTACGCTTAGTTAACACCAACTATAGCGTAGGTGAACCTGACTTTGCTCAGACTATAACTCGAAGGGAGAAAAGAAGTGATTGGAGGTGTGTTTTAATGAACAAGGGAAGGGCCCCTTATATACTAACATAGGCTTCACTTCTCAGCCATCCAAATCCAAAAACAGTGCTGGACCACTCTTTCTTAACGAATGAGATTCACTCATTTGAGTGAAAAACTAGCAACCACACAATATTAAAAATAATTGGACAAAGTATGTTGCGTAGCTTTGGACCAACTCATGAATTTTCCAACAGCAACGTCTCTAACTTCATCAATCTCTTGTTGATTGTAGGACAATATTCCTTGTCTCTCCAAACTCTACAAAGTTGAAAAGAGATAAATAATCAATAAGCTAGTATTTTCAAAAATTGAAGAAAAAATATATTTTATTAAGTTACTTGCCTTATTCATTCCTTTGTATGCATGACTGGAAACAATTTCTAACATGAATTTCATCGCATAATAGCCGCATTCGGTAGTTCAATTCCTCTTTGTATGGCACACTACATTTGAATTACAGTACAATAAGATTTTTTTTTTTTAAAAAAGAATAAGATATATGTAGTTTTACAAAGTGTTTGAAGTACTTACCAAATATGTAGTCCATTTTGGTGGACGACTTTGTTTCCTTCCACTTAATATGCTTGTTGCATTGACACACCTATTAATATAAGACATAAAATATATGTAAGTACTTGACACCACTATATCAATAATTACTATTAATTAAATGATTCATAAAAAGTAGACTAGAAGAGCATTTAATTAACAAATTAAATGATTCTTAAAAGTAGACTAAAAAATATTTAATTTATCTTGAGAAGGAATGAAAGAGATAAAATGAACAAGTGAAGATAAGGAAAATGGTTGTTAATGAGATTTGAACCTATGAGAGTCTATGACCATATCTTTGAACTATTTGGAGATAGCAATTAAGCCATCAAACTCGACTAAGCTCCAAACAAATCCATGAACTTGGAAAAAAAGTGCAATTAGCATTTTTAACAGGTTACTAACAAAAACAGTTTTTGTTGATTAGGATGTCATGTGTATTTATTATTATTATTATTATTATTATTATTATTATTATTATTATCCCACGAAGCATTTAATCCTAAAAAAAAAAATTAAAAAAAACCTAAAATATTTGACCCTCTTAACCAATAGTAAAAAAAAAAAAACAAATTATTATCCTACAAAGCATTATCTTGACATGGTGCGATTCCGGCGCTGTGCATACGCTCACAAAACTGTGATGTTGTAAATCTCTAATTTTGTTTTTCTAATGCTTTTTTGTTCAATAATAAATAGAACTTCGTTTTTTTGACTCTTGGGTCAATAGGGTTTTTTTGACTCTTGGTCGAGAGGGACAAATATCATAGGTTTTTTTTTTTTTTTTTTTTTTTTTTTTTGGGTAAGATTAGATGATTTGTAGGATAATAATAATAATAATAATAATAATAATAATAATAATAATAATAATAATAATAATAATAATAATAATAATAATAATGTAAAATAAAAATGCACATGACATCTTAATCAACAAAAATTTGTTGAGTACTTTAAACAAAATTTTATATAACATTTAATAATATATATATATATATATATATATATATATATATATATATATATATATATATATAAGGGTTGGGGTGGGGGAGTAGAGACAGCTGCCTCCATTGCCTCATAGTAGTTCTGTCCATGTCAACAAAATTATCTGCTTATATGAAGTCAGGTTTCAGTATACAATTATTCAGTATCGATTATTTATGTCTAATGTATATACCATATGCATGTTAAGACCATGCATCATATATATGTTCCTAGTTGACTTGTTTTAGCGACTCTGTTCTTTTTCAATCCTCCTCCATGGCCACTGGTTTCTCGTCTTTAGAAGGACCATAAGACCTGCTACAAATGAGGAACAGGAGAAAGTTAACCATGGCTTAACCCAGCAAGAACCCAGTAGAAGTAATCATAGTGACCCCTCGTTTATATCGCTTGTTATCCAACTCCCATTTCCTCTACTTCTGCTCAATTCGCTGATGCTGCTCATCAGCAAACTCGCTAGCAAGCTCGCGAGGGAATAGCCAAGCGCGTAAAGACTGGAAGCTATAGTCGACATGCTTCGGGGAAATTCAGAAATGAAGAACTGGTTTTGCGCCACAGCATTGGATCCCACTGCGATTCCTTGAGCGCATACTGCGGTACTATCCATAGTATTGACATTTTACTATCTCCGAGGTTGTCTGATGAGTGTTCCTGTTTGATTGCAAGGCTTCGTCGGATGCTCTCGACTTTGCCCACCATGACTGCATACCAGAAGGACATAAAGATCCCAAATCCCATTCTTGATTTGGTGCCAAAATGGACTGTGTTTCCTCTAATTCTTGATGCTACAGGCAGGAGTAGTCTGTCGTATAATACTATCCAGATAAAGGAGAACCCAACTCCAAATAAGCCTACTGAGCCTGCTGGGATTTCAAAGTTGGAACTGAAGATATGGCGATCCAGTGTGGTTGCTTGGAGGACTGCAAAAGAAGATTGACAGAAATCCACAGACATTATCACACCTGTGAACCATATTGGGATAACCCTCAGTATTGCCTTTAGCTCCTCTACTTGATCCACAGTGCAAAGCCTCCAGGGATCTATTGCTGTTCCATCTGAGTTCAAGTCTTGTTGGGGATCTTGTATGATGCAAGCCTTATTCAGAAACCTAAATAAAAATAAAAATTTGTATATAATGCTGTTTGTTTTGTTAGGATCTAGACGCAACTTTCTTTTCGTATACTGCCATACATTTTCGATAAGGTGTTCGATTTGGCCCTTATCGACCTCCACCATCAATTCCCTCCCAGCATGAGACAGAACTTGACTCTAATATCATTTGTTAGCTAGTAGCACTAGCACAACTTTATTTCTTTATATTGCCACACATTTTTGAGAGCCAAGGTACTCAACTTGGTCTTTTACTAGCCTCAACCCAACAGTTTCTCTAGTCACATGATGCTGGACTTGGCCCTTTACTAGCTTCTGCCCAACAATCCCTCAATAGCGGCCAATTATTGTGTGGACCATGGTCCACACAGTGCTGTGTACCGTGACCATATATAACAAAAAATACATTTTTAAAATATTAAAAGTACATTATTTGTGTACTGAATGTACACTATACAATATAATGTATATTCAGTACACAAATAATGTACATTTTTAATATACTAAAAGTACATTATTTTTGTACTGAATCTACATTATTTTACGGTATACAAAATATAGTCCATACAGCTTGTGTGGACCATAAATAATGATTGTTCTATAGTCACATGGTGCTGGGCTTGACCCTTATTGACCTCCGCCCAACATGTATGAATTGAGATACAAGAAAGAAATTTAATCAGTAAATTCAATATAATGATTTACCGTACCTGAGTCTTTCACTTGGGTGATCCATGGTAGTGGAACTGTTGTGATGGTAACTATTTGAGTATTTCCTGAAGAAAATTTGAGGTGTCTGTTTGTGCAAGAGGCTACAATCACTTTAAGCAACCCAGGGATTAAGCTTCTTTTGGCATTTTGTTTCACATAGAAGGGAGAACCCAGAAAGAAAGAGAGAGCTGCAAAGAGCATGAACACAACAAGAATGCCATAGCCTATTTTCCACCCAGCATTCTCCTGGATATAAACCAGACAGGTCAGAGCAACTACTTCACACAAAGCAAACATGGCATAGTACAGCTGAAATAGCTCTCCATTGCACCACCATTCTTCTGGATTTGCTTCAACTGATCCGCTCCGAACGACAACAAACAGGAAAATACTCCACCAGATCCAAATGACAACAGAACCAAAGAGGTACACAAAAGAAGGAGTTGGAAAGTTGTGGCAGAGCTGCAGGAGTCGCTGCATGGGCCAGGTTTTGCATGCGGGATCACAGTTGGTAACCAAAGAAGAACCATTCCCTTCAATACATCCCAAACAATTATATATGTAATAATCTCAAACATTCATATTTACTGTTTTAGTGTTTCACTTTTGGGGTCAACCAGTCTAGGTTGTCAAGTGGCTAGTTTAAATTAAGAGGGTTGGAATTCGAACTTGTGATCGTAGCAAGCAAAAGACCAAGGAGATAAACCAGTTTAAGTTGTTCATAACTGGCCAGTTTAAACTAAGAGGGTTGGGATTCGAACTCGGAATTTTGTAATTACAAGTTTGTATCCTTAGCCATCTGATTGAGATGTGAATTGAATGGGATAAATCTCGTCTTGTGACCTTAACGGTCAAAAGAAAATAAGGAGGTAATCTGGCCTTCTGATGGTAGCGGTCAAAAAAAATAAGGAGGTAAACTAGCCGAATTCGAACTCGTAATCCTAGCAAGCAAAAGACGCAAGGAGGTAAACCAGTTTAGGTTGTCTATAACGGGCCAGTTTAAACCAAGAGGATTGAAATTCGAATTCGTGATTTGGCTGAGGTGTGCACGGGGTAAATCTCGTCTTGTGACCATTGCGGTCAAAAGAAAATAATGAGATAAACTAGCCTAGTTTGCCATAACTAATCAGTTTAAACCAAGAGGGCTGGGATTCAAACTCATGATCTTTTGATTACAAATTTGTATCCTTAGCCATCTTGACTGGGGTGACAACTGACCAGCTCAAACTTGTTACCTTGTGATTAAAGTTTGTGTCCTTAACCTTGGCTAAGTTACCATATAGTGTTTCACTACTTTAGAAGAAATAATAGGTGTGAAAACCTTACCATAAGGCCAATGATAGATGCGATTCCTATCACTTGAAATCGGCCCATCAAAGAATCCGCCAAGATGGCTCCGGTTACAGGTACAATGAATGTAATTGCAGACCAAAAATAGATCAAATTTAGAGCCAGAAACCATGTCCATGTGATATTCTCCCATCAAATATTTTATCATGTCTGCAGCTAATGAGCAAGTCGTCATACTCACAAATGCCATGGTTCCTATCCAAAACCCAAACAAACACCATAGTTAATTAGTCTCTATCCTATCAAATCTTGATAGATAAAAAATAATACACTTTATAGTATAAATTATCCGGTCGACTATGTTGGTACTGCATGTATGCATGTATTGCCGGAGCCAACATCTTAGAGGTTTTTCAGAATTATTATCTTTATGAGGAGTTTTAATTAATTTCTCCAAGGTATGCTTGCATGATCACTCTTGGAATTTTTTGCAACCAAAACACCACCGTAACTCTGAATGCTTTTTATCCCTATCTAAACTCTGATCTTTTTTTTTTTTTTTTTTTTTTTTTCTCAATATTTAATCTCTACAAATCTTATATCTAAATTCAACATATTACTACCAAGGACCTTGTAGAGTTGTAGTCCAATGACACCAAGTTGCTCTCGGCCTTATAAGGGAGGTTGTGGAATCGAGTCTCAACGAAGTCGATATTGACTTTATACTGCATTGTAGTAGAGTTAGTAGTATTCAAAAAAATTTAACATATTACTTTTTTCTTCATGTCTAAACTCTACAAACTTTTTCTCTCCCCTAAACATTACAAACTCTTTTTCCTCTAAATTCTATAGATTATTTTTTATTCATTATTGTTTATATCTTCCCAACAAAGTACACTAATATATAGGTAAAAGCATAGTTGAATATATTGTTTATATCTTCCCATCCTTAGTATTACTCCGTACTATTTTTCTTGTAATATTATATCATTTAGTGAAAAGTGATATTGCGTTTAAAATTATGGTACACTATATATATTTGTGGCAATCAAATTTGAACTAGTTAATTACAATACATTAATTTATATAATATCTATCAAAATATATGTTAAATCATAATTTTTTTTAAAGAAATTTAAAATATAAATAATACTCCGTAAGTATTAACAGAAATCAATGAAAGCAAGCCTACAT